CCCCCCCCCCCCCCCCCCCTTTCCCCCCCCCCCCCCCCCCCCCCGCCACCGTTACCTGTTCCAGGCCGAGTTGGAGCTCAGCTGCAGAGCCTGCCGGGCTGCTTGGAATCGGGGCAGATCGCTGAGCACCGGGGAGCTCATGAAGCGCGGCCTGGGCCTGCGGAAGGAGCCCATCTTGTGGAACTCAGTGGGTAGAGTGGGAGCAAAGCCGCGGGTCATAAGTCCAGGTGAGGGGACGCCTTCTCCTCTGGACCAGAAGGTTCCAAGTGCCCCCAGGAAGGGCTTCTCCCAGGGCTGCCCTCCGGCCCTCAGGCTTTCTTAAAACCACAAATTTAGCCAACATCTGAAAAGAGAGGGCAGTGTTTATTGAAAACTCCTGGGTTGAGCAGATCATTTCTTGGAGGAGGTTGGCTGGGATCTTCCAGCCACACTATTTTAAAAAAGACTCCAGGACCCTGCAATAACATCCATACCCTACCGGCTCCCATTCCCACTTTTGACTGTAATGCTGTGCTTACCCCAAGGTGGAAAGGCAGCGACAATGGGCATAGGTTAAGGCAATCCTATAGAAAGGTGATTTCTCAGCTGCACTTCACTGTGGTTCCTATAAATACCAGTCAAAATTTGGGCACTGGCTGGGTTTCTGTACACCCTGCATCGTTGTGCATTAAGATATGGCTTTTTACAAAATGCCTCAAAAAGAACATAGGAGCTCCTTCTCCTGGCACTAAAGACCTTCCATGATCTGCCCTTAGCATGCCAGCCCATGTGTATTGCTCAGTATTTCCCAAAGCATCAATGCCTCTTCACTCAGGCACATCTCCCCATCCCTTACCTGCTGTTCATTCATTCCTTCCATCAGAACATATTTGCTGAGTGTTAATTATTTATTAACCACTGGGAGCTGTGGAGCATCCAAAGATTTCTAAAACATAATCCCTGCCCTCAAAAGGCTCAAGGTCTACTGAGAAGAAAACTTTCTGTGTATTCTAGAACAATAAATATTTTTTTCCTGATTTTATTTTTTGTTTTTTTTTTTAATAAATTTTTAATTCCAGTATAGTTAGCATACGGTGTTAGTTTCAGGTGTACAATATAGTGATTCAACACTTCCACACATCATCCAGGGCTCTTCATGACAAGTGCACTACCTAATCCCCAGTATCTGTTTCCCCCATCCCCCCACCTCCCCTCTGGTCACCATCAGTTTGTTCTCTATACTTAAGAGTCTGTTTCTTGGTTTGCCTCCCTCTCTTTTATTTTTCCTTTGCTCATTTGTTTTGTTTCTTAAGTTCCACATACGAGTGAAATCATATTATTTGTCTTTCTCTGATTGACTTATCTCACTTAGCATAATACACTCTAGCTCCATCCATGTCATTGCAAATGGCAAGTTTTCGTTCTTTTTGATGGCTGAGTAATATTCCCTTGTCTTTAGATACCACATCTTCTTTATCCATTCATCAGTCGATGGGACACTTGGGCTGCTTCCATAATTTGGCTCTTGTAGATAATGCTGCTATAAATATAAACATAGGGGTGCATGTACCCCTCTGAATTAGCGTTTTTGTATTTTTGGAGTAAATATCCAGTAGGGCGATTGCTGGATCATAGGGTGGTTCTATTTTCAAGAAATATTTATTGACTGCACACTATGTACCCATCACTCACCCAGGTACTGGGGATACAGTGGTGGCTCTGGACAACATGGTCACTGCCCTGTGGAGCTTACAACCAGTAGGTGTGGTTCCACGCCATGCTTCGTCCCTCTCCCTAGCTTCTGACTATTTTTACTGCTTCCCTTGCCCAGAATTCCCTTCCTTTTCCTCTCTGCTTATCTAAATCTAACTTACCCTGCAGGGCTGGGTTCAAGGATACTGTCCCCTGAGCAGCTCCCAGGACTTTATGGCTTTGCAGTTAATGACAATGGCTCTGGAGTGAACCCGGGTTCGAGGCTTAACCAGGTCCCTCCCCAGCTGCATGATCTGGGGCACATGGAGTCCAAGAGTCCAAGGTTATTAGCAGTGCCAACCGCACAGGACTGAAGAGAGGAGACACAAAATCATGTGATGTGCCCAGCAGAACGGCACACCCGAAGCTTGCTTTCCACAGCACCTCTGCTCCTGTCATTTCAGTCTTGGACTCCCTCTTTTATTTTCTTAAGATTTATTTATTTGAGGGAGAGAGAGAGAGAGAGAGCAAGAGCACAAGCAGGGGGAGCAGGAGAGGGACCCGACACGGCTCCTATGGGCAAAGGAGTGGGGCTTGGTGACGGGCATCCAGGCAATCCATCGAGAGGGCTTGAGACGTGCCAGACATTGTCTGCAGACTGCGGGCACGCTGACAATGAACTTGCAAAAAAGAAACGACTGGTACTATGTCTTACATTTTTAAAGAAAAGCCGACTTGTGTACCATTTCCCTGTAGTCTTCTGCACCTCCACCTGCTTCTCAGGATGACCCCACGGTGACTAAAATTTATCAATACGTACCACAGAAATCAAAATAGGCCTGCTCCACTTCCAAGTCTCAATGACTACACAAGTGCCCCTGGAATTTGGCAAGATCTTTGCAAATCATCTGACGAGGCAACGAAGAAATAAAACCACAGAGCCCCTTCAAAATCCTTCCACGGGCCGGCTTTGGGATTTCACTTGCCCGGAAAGGTCACACTATTAAAAGAGGATCCATTTCGCGGCCCTTCTTTAAATGGGCCTGCTAAGGGCAATACGTCTGTGCAATTACAGGATATTAACTCCTTTTACGAGGACCTGAGACTTGAGATGATGGAGCTGCCTCCCACTCAGGGGCACTTGAACAGGGAAGCAGAAAGGTGAGCTGAATGGGTCGTCCAGGTATTTACTTCCCGGCTTCCTGCTGAAACCGCCACTTCTCCAGGAGGCTGTGCGACACGGAGGACCACGGGGCTGGCTCCCGTCTCCCCCAACTGCTCAGTCAGCAGCCCCCAGACCTCGCACTCCAGGCCGTGTGCGTGACCAGCAAGGCACATAGGTGGGCAGCCCCATCCACCCGCGGCCCCTTTTAAACAAGGGTAATTTTCAGCCCAAAGAACGATGAGCACAGCCCCCACAACCTTGTCACTGGCTGCACGGTGACACACAACAAGCAGCTGCCTCCAAATCCATTCTCACCTGCAAGACCTGCCACCCTCAGACCCCGACCGGCTGGCAGACCGTCGGAAACGGCCTTTGTTTCCATCATTCCTGCTTCCGGAGGGAGTCAGGAGGCTTCCCCAGAGCACTGCGGAGAGGGGGCCCTGGCAGCGTGGACAGGAGCAGCCTGAAGGGAAAAGCGGGCGCCCCCCATATCCACCCGCTTGCACCGCACTGGCCCCTCAGGCACAGGCTGGTCCTGACCTAACCACGACAAATGAGAAAACGACAAGACCGATGTGGCCCCTGTGTACAGATGACCAGAGTGAAGCCCAGAGGAGCAGAGCAGCTTGTCCAGTGTCTCTGAGGTGGGAGAGCCGGCACTGGCTAGAACTCAGGTTCCCCGACTCCCAATCTAGAAAGTTCCTCAGGCCCCACCTAGGCCATTCTATAACCTCCTTAAAGAGAGGCACCGGCACTTCCTTGTCTCTGTCTCCATATCCTCAAGCCTAAACTCAATGACCAAGACACAGATGAAGGAAGGATGGGAACTCATGAGGGGCCCGCGCCCTGCCTGTCACAGCAGGTGAACTTATGACCCTCACAAAACCCCACTTCAAGACCAAAGTAATCTGCTGGAAGTCACAAAGCCAGGTGGCAGATTATCGACTGGTGTCCAGACTGACCTAACTCTATAGCCTATCCCCACTTTGTCATGCTACCAAACTCAGCCAGGAACCAGAAGCGACCAAGTCAGTCAAGAACACACACTCCTGAGATTTCATATCCAAGTTTAAATGTCATGCCCCTGAGACAGATAAACGGACATAAGGAACTCTACGACCACATCTGACAGGGGCAAGAGGAGCCATGAGAAGGGAAGAAAGGAGAAAGTGTGGGCTGCCTTAGTTAGACACCCCATTCCTCACCAGCTGTGTGACCTTGTGTAAAAGTTACTTGACCTCTCTGAGCCTTGACATCCTTCTGCGTGAAATGAGCATGCTAAGGGTGACTACCTCAGAATTGTAGGGGGATAAAATGAGTACATATTTGTAAAGCACTCAGAGAGGAGAGGCCATGGCAAACAGCAAACAGCTAGATAATTGCTTGTTAAATAAATAAGATAGCTTGTCATTTCTAAATCTCCAAGTAATGACAGCAGTGGAAACAAAGGAACACTTCCCTGTCTCTGGCAACCTTACTGACATCTGGAAAACACTCCGCTCAGAAGGATGCAAGGTCTCCAAGCTGCCATGGCGGTCACAGATTGCTGAGGCCTTGCCCCCTCACACCTCGGGCAACACACTTATTTCCTGACCCTTCACCTCTGTGTGGCCGTCCCTCAGTTTCAGAGTGTTTCCACACATCACCACACTCATAAATCTTACCCTAACCCTGCAAGCTACGTCGAGTAGGGATCCTGTCAGGTCAGGAAACTGAGGCTACGTGATTTGGCCATAGCTGGGAGGCAGTTAGGGCAGGGAACCTAGATCTGGCCCCGAGTCTTCCAACCTCAAGCCTGCACTGCCAGGAAATTCTTCCCTTATATATGTTAAAATATTTTCATTATGCAACGTATGTAGAAAGGAGTTTATACACACACAAATATATCGTAAACAATGATAAACTTCCACCTGCTTAAGAAAGAGGACGTTAGCTTAGAAACCCCGTGTTCCTATTTTTCTGATAATAGCACACCTACTTGTTTATCATAAAAAAAGGTAAACGTGCACATAAATCTATAACACACAAAGTGAAAAAGGCCTCACTATGGACACTTAGTGTCGAGAAGCTTTCTGCCCAGAACTTGCTGAGAGAACGGAAATGTTCTAGATCTGTGCTGTCCAAGGTGGTAGCTGCTAGCCATGTGGCCAGTGAGCACTTCCAACGTGGCTAATGTGGCTGAGGAAGTGAATTTTACTTTAGTGTAATGTTTAATGCCATACACATGTGTCCACACAACATTTGAATAAAAATGGGTAATCTTTCCTTTCCTCTTAAGACATCATGGCTTTCTTCCCATATCCCTGTATACTGATCTACTTTACTATTTTTAAAGGTCTCTTCCGTTTAGGGGATGCCATACTTGATGTAACCAGTCCCCAGTGGATGGGTATTCTCGGAGTTTCCAGTTTTTTGTTCCTGCAAAGAATGAGCATATCCGCCAGTCTTGGGGACTCTGTGCCTCGAACACCCAGCGCCATAATAGCCAGAAATAGCATGGCAGAAAG